AAACGCAAAAGAAAAAGAAAAAGAAAAACCATTAAAAAGGAGCCCAGAGGGAACTGCGCAAGTTAGAAGAGAAAAACGCACTTCCGCCTTCCCCAACGCTCAGTGAACCGCAACACAGGCCAACACCGCCAGCGGCAGCAGGAGCAGCAGACGCACCCCGGCAGGCCCACCGAAGCTGCCGTCAGCCTCACGGACGTGTTTGGCCGCGCCAGGCACAGCAACTGTAGCTTTCTTGCCTGCTGGAGCAGGGGTCCGCGTGCCGTCGTTTTCGCCTCCCTGCGATTGTGCACTCACAGGCGAAGACTGTGCCTCAGTTGCTGGAGGGGACGGAGTTGCAGGATGTGGCGAAGAAGAAGAGGAGTCAGAAGTCTGTGTCACAGGGCCCTGCCCACTGCGTGCACCAGAGGCAGCAGCGGACCGCCCTGCGGGATGTGCACCAGCCCTTCCCGATGGCGCCGGTTCCTCGGAGAGCTTAGCAAGGAAGGCCTCAAACCCTTTCTCGTCACAAAGATCAGACCCATCAACGTCTTCATCTTCGTCCTCGTCCTCACCCGCTGCTTTCTGGAGTTTACAAATCTCCTCGAACGATTCACACTGCGCCTTTTCCGTTGCATTATCCTTGTTGCACTCCCGCCAATTACCACTGCAGCCCTGACGCACTTTCAAGGTAGTGCCGCTGCCGTCTGGGCACTGAAAGTGCAGCACATCTGGCAATTTAAGCGGGCCCACCACATCAGCAGCCGTAGTGTTCCCGATTCCCTTAAATACGGCACCTTCTGGCGAACCCTCCCCGCGCACGCCCTCACTGAGGCACAACGAGAGGGCCACCAAGCCCAGTAGCACACGGCGCAGCGCCGTCCTCGTGCCCGCCATCCGTCGAAGGTCCTGATTTCGCTTGCTGTGTGGCTGTGTTGCCAAGCGGAAGCAGAAGATAGCAACAAAAAGAAAAAGCAGAAGCAGAAGCGTGCGCCACGGCAAAGAAGCCGCATGCGGGTCCCAAAACACACGCACACGCATACGCACAGAAACCCACACGACGCAAAAGAAAAAGAAGGAAAAGGGGGAAAACACAATCGACGTCTTCAGCACAGGCACCGTCGATGTCCCCCAGGGGCTGAAACTGACCCCACAGCAATGAAGAAAAAGAAACG